TTGTTGAGTTTCATCAGTTCTCCATATATTTTTGTGATCAGTCCTTTATCGCTACTTTTGTGTGAGAAAATGTTTTCCCAATTAGTGGGCTGTCTGTTTTTTGCAATGTTTCTTTTGCTGTACAGCTCTTTAAATGTAGTCCCATCTATTTATCCCACAACAAGATTATTTTTTATTTTCTCAAGTTTGATGATGAAAACTGGTATAAATTTGGAATGTATAAATATATCTGGAATATGGGAGCTCCATCTAACTTGGAGTCCTCTATTTAAAAATGTAGCTAGTAAGGAAGATAATAAATATAAAACAATTTGGAGGATCAAATTTTCAATTGGTACCACTAAAACCTGCTTTCCCCAAATGAGGGTTTTGACTAATAAGTCAAAACCTGCTTTCCCCAAATGAGGGTTTTGACTAATAAGTCTTCCATGATTCCTTAAACCATTTTATTTTACCTTAAAATTTTTTTTAAACCATTTAAACCATGTTGGTAGAGTATAGATATCTAGCCATATATGAGCTTATTTCTGTTTATTTTTAATATTAACATATATTCTGTTTCCAATGATGACTAATTTGAATGCAAATATTTTATTTGAAACGACAGAAAATTAATTTTTAAAAGATTTTATTTATTTATGCCTCTGGGGTACAGGCCAGAGGTGCAGGGGCGGTGAGAGGCTTCCCCAGAGACAGAGTGGGGAGCAGAACAGGCAGATAGACCAAGTCCACTGCTGAGGCGAGCAGTGGGTGGGGCGGGTCAGGAGAGGTCTGCCACGCCATGTGGTCACCTCCCCAGCCGGCGGGATCAAACTCATGCGGAAGTGGCTTTAGCTTCTTAGTGCTGTGCTTTAACCCACTGCGCCACCAGGGAGGGCCCAGAAAATTAGTTTTCAATGCATGTGCTGAAATAAAGCATCTCAGTATAGCTCATCCACCTGAAATCTTTGGAGAGGAAACGGCTCATTGGAACAACCCTGCATGATTTCCAAAATGCCACATATCTGCATACCTTAAAGGAAGTAGTGATGCTCTTAGTCATTTTCCCATGGGCTGTTGATCTATGCACATGAGTTTCTGTCACCACGGCGAAGCTTGGGGGACTGTGTCTGTGGCACTTTTGGTCCCAGCTTCGAAGGGACCCGAGCCTCCGATGGGCTTCGCTGTCTTCTGCTGCTGATCATCCCACCACAGGAGCCTTGCAGTGTCTGTGCGGGAGGCCTCCCAGGGAATCACTCAGGGCAGTGATAGCTCTCCTCGGGGACAGGTGCGGGACTTGGTGGCCCTTCGTAGCCAGTTAAAGAGCAGGTGCAGTGTGGGAGCTGGAAAGCTTATTGTTATAACCCAGGGGAATCGTGCTGTTCACATGAAACTTGTTCTGGAAACCTGAGGGAACTCCTAAAGTATTTTCAATAAGTGGAGTAGAAACCAAGACAAGCGGCCTCCTCGGTGGCCTCGGGGCTCAGTCTCAGGCCATCACCTCTACAGCCTGAGTTCGATCCCCGGCCCCGGAGGTGACCCACAGGGCACAGCAGACCCCCCCTGTCTCCCCGCTGCTCCCTGCAGCAGTGGATTTCAGTGGATCCACCTGTTCTGCTCCCTGCTCTGTCTCTGGGGAGTCCTCTCACCCCCCAACACCTCCGGCCTGTACCCCAGCTCTTCTGTGCAAAAAAGAAAAGAAACAAAGATGGACAGGAAGCAAAGCTGTGGCAGTTTGCTGCAGAACACGGGTCTCCTGAGTGGGGTCCAGGCTGGTCGTGGCTTCGAGAAGGAAGCGCATTTTCAAAATGATTTTGGCGGCAGGAGGAATGGGATTTAGCAAGGCCTTGGTGGTGGGCAGTAAAGAGAATGTGCGGATGATGTCCGCGATTCTAGCCTGGGTAAGAGGAGTGAGGACGCCGTGTAGACACTGGGACGGGAGGGTGAGCTGGACATTTCAAGCGGCTCATTCAAGGTTGGACCCTGGCCTAGGAGGGGGGAAGGATGGGAGTCGGGGAGATAGTTTGGGGAGTGTGTATCACCACACACGTGACCGTGAAAGTCATGACCGTAAATGAATGCACCGAACCAAGAAACCAGCGC